CTGCTTTTAAAACAAAGACACACAAAAGGTAAGGTAATTACAGGATTTATGAAACTATTAAATCATAGTGCCCTGTGGTTGCTATGGTTGAGATAATGGGACAAGTTTAAAGTGGTGTTGCCTTCTTTCAGTCCTCTGGGTGTAACTCCGGACATAATATTCATGTTTATCCTTGAGACTCTTCATTACTGAAAAGTGAAGTCACATAGTCCCCTTGGTCCCTCTGTGAAGGGTACTATTTACTTCCCAAATGTTCCTAATTGAAAATCATTCCTTAATAATAAGCCTAGCACACTACCTGCTCCAACATACCGTGATGTTATAAAGGAGGCAAAAAGACAATTTGCAAGGAACCAAAAGGATTTTAGGATGTAAGTTGATGCTATACTATTGTTAAATATAATACTTTTTTAGAGCTGGAAACAGAGAAATCATCTAAACTAAGTTCCTTATGTTAATCATGAGAGTCATGTCTGAGCATCTTACAGACTCAGAGATTCTTTTCAGGTAAGTGTCAAGGGTGTATGTTGTAACCATGGAACCATGGCAAGTGAGAGGGACAGAAGAAAGGAAAGAAGCTTTGCTTGGTGTGACTGGAGGGGTGCACCTCAACAGGAAGAGGCAAGAGCTCCAGGGAATGGAGATTGGAGTATCGTCCATTTACAAAGATAAGCCCTGGAAGACCAGCAGAAAGGTTCCCTGCAGTAGAAGGAATTCCCTGGAGCTGGGGTGGCAGCTGGGCTGGTGTCAAGCAAGGAAATCAAGAAAGCAAAGTCCTTCCTGAAATGTTTTCTTGGGGGGACATTTTCAGTTATTTGTACTTAATTTAAATAATTGCTTGTGGTCAGTCATGGTAATCTTATGTGCTAGGAAGCTAGGAATGGGTTAATGAGAGAATATCCATCAATTTTTACAAGAACAAATTAGCAGGGTCCACTTCTTCTGTCCATGCTATCAAAGTTACTGCCTTGAGATGTCATTGCCTTTAGGGGGAGAAAAGATGATCCTCCCTTTTGGGTGCCTCCTGCTGTCCAAGGAGCACCTCCAAGAGAGGTAAATGGAGGACCACCAGTTATGTCCTATCCAGTGGGCAGATCTAAAAGCCTGCACCCCCGTTTTCCAAGGGTCCCCATTCCCTCTTTCCCGCCCACCCACCCACAGATGCATGTGTACGTCCACACACACATACCCCTTAGACTTCCTGCACTTAGTGGGAAAAACAGGGATGGACACCTTTCCAGAGGGCCCCCATGGTAGCAGAAGGTGGAGTCCAGCTGTCCTCAGGCATGGTAGGTGATACCGTCGGCACATGTTTGTAAGAGGGAATGTGCTGAGGGATTCTTTACACTAAATAGTGCATAGGGAGGGAATGAATTGGTTTGTCGAGGGCTTTTATTAACACATGTATATCAGTAAATTGCTGATTTATTCTTTTCCAATTAGTAATGCCTGCATTATTTTAAAATTTAACTTCAAATTTTGACTTTATAGGGAAAAGCTCAGAATTAATGAAGAACTAAAACTTCTAAAATGGCGGCGGGAAAGAATTGACAAGGAGCTTGATAGGTTTGTCTCTTATTCAATTGGTAGTGCTTAAGATCGTCTTTAATTGAAGAGATGTTACATAAAACCACAAAACTGCAAAAAAAGTTTTCTAGTTAACAGTTAATCTGGAGTAACATTTTAACTTTCTTTAATCACAAAATAATCTACTCTGATCATTTAATTAATCGCTAAACATTATCATCATCTACTTTTTCCTCTCCAGCCATAGGACTTAAGCTCAAGTCCTTTTCAAAATAAACCGATAAGCGTGCCCCATCCTATGAAAGTTGTAAACTAGAAAAACAACCGATTTAGCTGGTCTCTCTTGGGCTAGTTTTTTATTTCTCTTCTTCCCCTATGCATATAAACATTTTTCCTCAATGAAGGGACTCATTTGTTTATTTTATAAATTAAACCATAAGAAGAAAAACTATAAAGTATTGAGATTAACCTACTTCTTACAACACACCGGCAAGCACGTGCAGAATAAGAAGTATCAGACAAGTCCAGCCCTTCAAACAAGCCCCCTAGGGAGACGGTAACTTTGTGCCAGTCACACTTCATACTTCTAAATACGATTTTAGAACTTACAAAGCTAGTTTTCCAGTCACATGAGAAAATTAAACCCACTACTTTAGGATCTTATCTCACTTTTCACCAAAAACTTTATCACCTAGCTTTCTGCTTCACAACACCTGTTATAAGGTTCCATTCCGGTGACTCTTACAAGTTTCTAAAGATCAAATCCACACAGGACAAGAGTTTTCACCACTGAGAATATGCAGAGGAATGTAGGACAATTTTCAGAGTAACTCACAAGAAGTATTCAAGTATGTTTAATGCAATGGCACATTGTTGAAAAATACGCATTCGGATATATAAATCCCATGTGCTTGTTAAAGTTATAGGCACAGTGTATGAGCTTCCATTTGTAATCTTGAAAAGAGATACTCATGAGAGGAAAGGCAATCAGAAAGAGGGAGGATTAGTAATGTTATAAAACTTCGTGAATATACTAAAACCACTGAACTGTACACTTTAATGGTTCAATTTTATGGAATGTAACATATATCTGAATAAAACTGTTATTTTTTTTAAGAGGGGAGATTGTAAACTAGAAGAGTGACTTGGAAGAGGGAGTGATTTTAACTTAGTGAGATGAGACAGATTCTAAGGATACTGTGCAGTTCAAGGAGATTCGAAGAAGGTGTTACTGAGAGTCGACACCGTAAGAGCCAGATTTGAGACAAGCATGGAAGGAAAAATGTGAGGCCTAAAGAGCAATCAGTGAGGAGGAAACCCAGCTTGAGAAGACAAAACAAGCAGAGAGAGAATGAGTGAGGGGGCATGTGCCAGTCACAGAGCACGAATGCAAGAGAACCTCCGACTAAGTAATCCCACTCTGCCTTCGGGGTGCGCTGGTCTAAATGCTGAAGACACCTCGGATAGGCCTGGCAAGGGGTTAAATAGCTCATCTAAACTGGCTGCTTCAGCAACGTGTATTTGGGATTTGCAGAAAATTTTACTTCCTGCCAATTTTATGGAAAAATAGTTTTTAAGTATGTCACTTGAAAATTGCCAGTGAAATTAATAGTCTTATATATCCTTTATTCCGTTTCTCTTTCTCTCATCTGTGTTACTTTTACTAATGTTTCTCCTCGTCTCAAGTTTCTATCCTTCCTTGCCCAGCTACCATTGCTTCTCCCCTCATTCTTAGATCTCTGGAAAAGTTCCTGCTGCTTCCTGAATTCAACCATTCAAGTCCTTCATAAATATTTCTTGAATGAATACTTGGTGATAGATACGATGAGATTCCTGGATCCCTGCTCACAATGAGCTTACAGTCTAGTAAGCACTCTTACCCACTGGCCTTCTCCATCTCCCTCTCTTTCTTCCCTGTATCTCTCCCTCGCCAGTCTCTTTTACTCTTCTCTCCCCACTGTCACTCCTTAAAGTCTGGGCTAGAGCCTCATGAGTGGAATCAGTTAAAGCAATACTATGTGAACCATCTAACTGAAGAGGATGTGCCACTGCTGGGATGAGAACCACACAGTGGGTGGAATTGAAGGCCTGAGTCACACTGCTTGGGTTCAGACTGTCTCCTTGCTAGGTGTATGACTGCTGTGTGTGTGTGTGTGTGCATGCACGCACATGCAGCGGGGGTGGGTGTCCGAACCTATCTAAGCCTGTTTCCTCATTTATAAAATAGGATAATAGTAGTGCCTACTTCAGAAGTTTTAAGGGTAATTGAATTAATATATGTAAAGTGCTGGGCAAATGCCCAGTATATTAAATTCTTAATAAATGTTGCTTATTAGATGGTGTCAGTATAAGGACAATTAGTTTGGTTACTGATTTTCTTTATTCCATTATTAGACTCCAAGCAAAGGCTACCAAGAAACCTCACGAAGTGAAACAGGACTTTGAGAAGTTTCTACATGAACTGGTATGTTTTCTTTCTGAAAATAATTGAGAATTCTCTCTCTAGCTTATTTTATATAGACTGGACAATATTTCATAAGAATGTATGGTGGCACATCCAAATTACAGTGGCAGAAGAGGATACATTCTTGTCATTTAATCATCCACATGCACATGTAAGAAAATCTCTGTTTTACATATTGAGTGACAACTCACGTTCACGTTCCCCATTTCCAGCTTCTGACCAGGAACGGTTTATGTAACTGAAAAGCTCCAAATGCAGTTAGAATTACAAACTAATAATCACTGATGTTTGAAGCTGTATTTTGTTTTTCATTAATAATTCAACAAAATCATACTGGGTACCAACAGCTGTGTTAGATGGATGGACCCTGCCCTCAATTAATGGAAACACAAGGCAGAATATCATAAGGTTCTAAATAGGACTCAAGTATGAGAAAGAAAGGAAAGAAAGAAGCCTGTTCCATCTTTCTGATTTTCCTTGTCATCTTCTCTTTCGCTTCTCTTTACCTATGGGCAGTCTTGTTAAGTCTGAAGGGCCTCTTCCCTCCCAACAGACAAGAACATATAGAGACTAGTGTACAATATGTCTGAAGGTTGGACAACTGGAGGTCAGGAATAGAGGAGATCCTTTTATTTTCAGCATGTCAAGGCTTCCACTCAAAAATCTAGAGCAATCCCATTGGCTGCTAGTATAATGTCAAAAATGGGTCAAATCAAATTCCTACATGGGTCAGAAAAGTGAGAAAGTGGTGAAACACCTGGGTGTTGTATAATATACAAACAGGACAGTATAATAAGTAAACAGGACTATTCTTTTTATTTTTTTGTTGAAACAGGGTCTCACTCTGTCACCTGTCACCCAGGCTGGAGTGCAGTGCTGCAGCCTTGAGGTCCTCAGCTCAAGTGATCCTCCTGTCTCAGCCTCCCAAGTAGCTGGGACAGCAGGCACATGCCACCACTCCCAGCTAAAGACTATTTTTTACATCCACACACGAAAATATTCATTCTTCTTTTTTTTTTTTTTTGGTCTATCTCCCCTACTATTGATAGAGACATGGGCACAGAGAAATACCTAATTAGAATAGGAAAACAACAGTGCAAGTGTGCTGATAAAGGGCAAGTGACCCCAGCTGGTAAGTGGTAAATGATTTGAGTGTCAGGGAAATTATTATACAAGCAGTTGTGGAAACTGTAGCGCACTGGAAAGCCGTGCCTCATCTAACAAAACAGCTACTATCTCAGCCCTAGTTCATTGATGCCCTGCAGAAATGTAGGACAAGTAGTATCAGATATTCCACCACTCAGTAATCCAGATTCTGAGTAATCCAGAATATCTGATACTGCTTGTACAATCTCCTGATTTGGAGCCCAAGTTTTTAGTCATTCTGTGGGTCAAACTATATACATCTGCAGACCAGATGTGGCCCGTGGGCTGCTGGGCTGTAACCCCTGATCTAAATGCTGCCTGGATTTGACTCTTCAAAAGCTAACTCCAGCCAGCATAGTCAATCTTGTTCTTCACTACATACCAAAGCAAACCCTTCAGTCTCACTGAGCCTCCTCCATGCACCATGTCGGCCTGTACCCATAGGCTTTGCTCATCTGCAGTGTGCACTCCACAGCTTTTAAACTCTACTCATCCTTTAGGGCCATGCTCAAAATCCACTTACTGCATGATCTTTCTTCTAATGGCCCCGGCCCTATCCCTTCCAGGTAAGTTCGGCATCTCTCATAATGTCTAGAATACCACACAGTGATGGTAAGACTGAAACATAGTTCTTTTTTTCAAGAGAGAAATCAAAACACATATAGAATAGATCCCTCGCTTAGATGACCATGTGTGTCCCCCAAAGAAGAGTGCACACTGGAAATTTTTACTCACCTTTTGTGAAGAAGAAATCACCTAGTGAAAATTTTAAATGGAACAGCAAAGCAATGACAAGCGCCTTTTTTTTTTTGTTACACTGATCCAGGTATCTCTAAAGAATTATATACCAACCACAAATCCTTTGTGGAAAATGGCACAGTATTAAAAAATAAAAGATTATAAATTTAAATAAATTCAGGTTTTGGATTTTTGGGTTTATAGAACTCAAAATTCTTTTAACAAATTTGACTCAAGCTTTCTCAAGCATTTACCTTTCTGCTAAGAATGAAAATGTATCAGAAGTTTATTTTAAAATAGAATATCGGCTTTCCTAGTATTCTATGTATGACTGTTATCCTTTAAGAAATAAAGCCAGCTTTGCGCAGGCCTCCCTTAAACTGAAATTCTAGAGGGTGATGCCCAATCTGTGAGTTAAACATTAATGAGCCAATGCAATCACAGAATCATAAGTAATTGTGATATTTCTGGATAATTCATGCCATAAAACCACTGCTATCTCAATTACCTGAGTATTTCAGCAAAATACTTTTTGGTCCAAATCATTATGTAATTCAGAAAGTGCTTCCTATAGTCCATCCACGAGAGAAAGCCAGTCATTTGCCATCACTAGCCAAACATTTCTGCCCACTCTTGATGTACATACAGAGGTACCCATCAATACCGTTACAAATCCCAGAATTCATTAAGTCTTTTCATAGTCACTTTCACCCACATACTTGCATACCTGCTTTATACTGGGGTGCATATATACAAACAAGCTTTTCTAGATAAACAAAGAAGGGATATAAGGAATGTGTGGGATTTCTTGGAAGTGGCTCTTCAATTAGAGAGGTATTTGAGAAAAAGTAGTAGAAAAAGAGTGATAAGAAAGTAAGTTCTATGAACAAACTGAATTATCTGAATTATCATCTAGATAATTCTTTATTTCAATGTGAACAGAAGAGACTTAAAGTGTTTTTTATCTAAGTTTTTCTGTTAAGTAATGGAGACAGCTCAGGGCCAAAAGAATTGAAAGTGGTTATTTCAATGATATCACATGGTTTAAAAATATTCAAATGAGTCTGAATTTTCTTCCCATATCCTCCTTTTGTCAGAAAAAAAAAAAAAAATCCTTACTCTCTTGATAATTGGAGAAATCTCACATTCAATTATACAATGTCCAAGAAAATCTGTGAAACTTTAATCATGTATTATTTTCATAGCGTTCTGAAGCTGAAATTGAGAGAGAATGTGTGGCATCACTGTCGTCATCATCATCATCATCAACAGAGAACTACAACTTTGAGGAAGAAGAGTACTAAGAGAAACCGGAAATGAACTCTATTTAAGAATAATGCGTACAATTCAATGGTATCAGTTTAATTTTAACAATATATTTAATTCAAGTCCAATTCATGTAATCAGTATTAAGAGTGTGTTTTACCATTCATCTTTAAAATCTTCAAATGAATAAATCTCAGTAAATTATTCTTAAAAGATCTGTCCAAGCATCATCTTGACTCTTAATAGTAAAACCATATTTTAAGATGGAAAAATAATCATTATGAAGCATAGAGAGCTTTCAATCATTTCCTTGAAAATATATCTTGATATAATAGCAACCATTCATCATAATACAAAACAGAAAGAAGATTAATTTACTGTGGCATAGAAAGTCCTGCCAATTCCTAAGTGTCCTAAATAGTTTCTCTGAGATTTTTTACATTTTTTCAGGCCTCAAGGAAAACCAAAGCCCCGCTTCCAGGTTTGGTAGCAAACAAACTCTGCTTCTCTGGTGCTAAGCTTCCATCACTCCTCTGGTAATAAGCTTTATGCACATTGGCTAGGAAGCCGGGCAGCTTGTCCGCAGGTACTATTGATACTGCGCAGCCTCCCCATCCTGCTCCAGTAAGTCGTGACCCTTGAGCCCCCAACTTCCTAAAACAATGAGAAAAAAAAATATTAGAACCTGTAAATGAAAATGCAACTGATTTGCTTGATGTTTGTAGAACACATAGCCTATCTAAGTTCTAAGAAGAAAATACATGAGGGGTTTTTAGGTGTCATCAAACATTTTAGGACATTAAGACATTTATACTGTTTCAGAGAGTGATTTGGAATTTTTTCATTGTATCTAAATCTAGTCCCTGGTTTTGACTCCAAGTAGTAAGTCAACAGTACTCCTCCCATTTCATGACTAGCAATAACCCACTGTAATACTGATTCCATACAGTAGCCACTTGAAGAGTTGTATAGCAAGCTTACAGGTAAATCAGGAAGGAGGTGTTAAAATAAAACAGGCAATGGTAAAAGAAATGTAGGCAACCCTGAATCAGAAGGTCACTCCAAATGAGGGCAAATCAAAATTTAAAATGTACAGTCTTATACAAGGTTTCCCCAGTGGCTATTTCAGCTGCATTCTTAAGTCCGGGCTATTTCACAAAGAAGAATCAGTCCCCTAGAACAGATAGCCTAGTTCACTGAATAAACTTATCAACAAAAAGCTTGTTATTAAACTCCAGGTTGGGTGGGTGATTGGTTGACTCTCTAATGGAAAATTAAGCAAACCTTTCCACAAAGAGGATGGCAGTCCCTAGAGTTCCACACCACCTTCCCTGTGCCTTCTGGAGCTGGTCTGATTACTGGACTCAGAATTTGACATCAGATGAGATGTATCTGATTGGGATGGCAACAACTATATAAAGGACCACACAGTAAGAGTTAATTTTAGTTACTGTAAACCAGGCACAGTTTCAAACCTAAGATTTTAACCAAAGTGAAAGGCCCTATCACAATGTACACAGATCACTTAGCTTTAAAAGACGCAATTTATCCTGACAAGAAAGTTAACATGTACTTATAATTAATTCTTCTTAATAAAATCCACTCCAAATTATTAGTGGATTAAAGGCTCTATGATTAATTTAGTACAATTTTGTCTCTTTTTTTCAATCTAAATGAGATACTTTACTTCCTGGACATATCAATAGAATACTACCTCTACCCTAGAACATCAGAATTACTGCATGTCAGTAATTGATTTTCCCATCAATGATTCTTCTCAGTTGATTTCTTTTTATCACCTGCTTTATTATATATATTAAAATATGCTTTTCAAATGAAAATAGGTATTTAAGAAAGAAAAAAATGCTTACAAACAAATGAACATCACTGATCTTCTCCTATCCCTTAAACATTCAGCTTATGGCCCAGTAGCTGAACTAAGCCTGAAATCCCATCATCCAGGCTAAAATATTTCTCTGACCTTGGGATCCTTGGATTATTCTAAATTCCTAGGTTGGCAAAGAGCCTGTTTGCAGTTTGTTGGATTTAAAAAAAATGGTTGCCATATGCAGTCACATCAAACTCTTACTGTGGAAAACTAAGGTGTCACTCAAGTGTCTCTGGAAGACGCTAAAATACGGGCATTAAAGCCAGCCATGACATGGTCTACCTTCTTATTTGATTTTCTAAGATCCAAAATATGCCATTTTGCTGCATTCAAGTTATCAAGTCTTTAAGGGTCCTCAGTCCAACTTCTAAAAGGCATATTTTATTATACTTTCTCATTTGAACAGTTTTTGAAAGCTGTGGTTTTTCAAAATTGAACCTAAAGCAAACTGAGAGTATTGTTTTTAATCTGGCTGTAAAACCTATAGGAATTGGGCCCGAGGTCTATTTTCCTGAGACTTTTACCAGTTTCCAGGGAGCAGAAGCTGGAAGTCTTTGTAGGTCAAGATATTCAATACTGAGTCTCCAGAGCTGCTCCGTCACCACCCTGCCTGCTACAGATGAAAATGGACTGAACTGCATCCATCACATGGTTTGAAATCACCAGGGCTCAAATTTCCCAAATCAAGAATGGTAAGTGCTATTATAAATAGCCTTCTGCCCTCGAGTCAGTGGCGCATCTGATCACAAGTCAGGGCTGCCCCAGCAGCTGGTCAGCAGCCTGCCAAGCTACATACACTTACAAAGGCAGAAAGGTCTGTCTGCAGTGTTCCCTGCTAGTACTTAATAGGCCCTTTGGCATATGCCATAGAAATTCTGAGAAGACCAAAAGTTAGGAGACCACTATACACTTTAAATAAAGAAAGAAAAGTAAGTGAACCAAGGGTGTTTAGTGAACTTTTCATGTTTGTGCCTTTTTCTGGAAGAACAAGAAAACATTAAAGATTTATCTTCCAAGCTATTGCACATCAGAGAGGCAATACAAGAATTATAGAACCCAAAACCCTAAAATCCCTCAGATCCCACTTTGATAACTGTGATGACTGGATTGGGAATAATGTGGAAGGGTTTGTTAAAGCAACAAAGGCAGCCTCTGCTTTATAAAGCATGATGGCAAAGGCTAGGGCAGATGAGGGATGGAGATGATGAGGAATGTTCTCTTTGATCCTTGTGTATTCACAGAATTAACTGTCCAGGCACCCAATATAGCCAAAGTCAAATTTCCTACTTTTAAGTGAACTAATTCGACCATAAAGCGCGAAGTTGCAAGATACAAAGCAATGGAGAGGGTGGGGAGGAGATCCAGAGAGACCCAACTGCACTACACACTTGAGAAAGACGGAAGGTAAGAAATTATGCCTTGTATTTAAATTCTGTGTCATTTCTTTCTAAATAAGTATATATATATTATACAAATGGATATGAAATAAATTATTTCAGGAAATCTTGAATTTAGGAACAGGTCACATCTATCTCTCTGAACCTAGCCCAGCACAATTCTAGGAATTTCATAGGTTCTCATAAATGGCTGCTGGACTACAATATTTCCCTTAAAATATTTTTAAAAATTATATGTAATATAAGCAGTCAGCAGTGTATTTTTTACTTGGGAAGACTTCTAGCTTCTGCTCTCTGGAAATGGCAAGAATCACAGGTAAGGGACCTTCTAGCAGTTTCTATGATTTCTATAGCCAGGTTAGACACTGTACCTTCAAATTGCTTTAGAGTCAAGAAACCACAGCCTTCAGTGTTCAAATGAGAAGGGATAAGAAAATATGCCCGCAAGTCTACTTTAGAAATGTAAGCCACTTAAAGGCCATTGAAGAGCAGTGGGTTTGGGTCCTGCAAATGGCATATACATTCATAAGTCAAAGAGGCCCGAAGAGAAGTAAAGCCCTAAGGGGAGCTGAAATGGCTGGTTCCCTCTTTTTTTTTTTTTTTTTTTGACAGGGTATGCAGATTAGCACTTAAGGTCATGGAGAAAGAGCATGTAACAATGGATTTGCACTTCATTCTTCCCCACTATGACCTTGTCAAAGAAAGGGTGCGAGAGGCTGAGCAGCCTTACCATGGAATCCATTGCAGAAAGGCTTCTGAGGAAGACAAAAGTAAACTAACTTTTGTAATCATAGTTAATCCACTAAAATTTGTCATTCATCTCCCTTAATAGCTTGGGCAATAATGCAGCAATTAATCCTCTCTAATTTCAACAAGTGTCAAAACGAAAATAAAAGGCATTAACTATTTTGTCTTAAGTAAAACTAGGGAACCAATAGTGAATGAGCTGTCTCACATATAACTGACTTGGTTTCAAAACTGTTTTGTGTTCTCCAGTAAATTCTACTTAAAATTTAGTCATTTCTTTCTGTTAACATTTTGTTTGGTTACAAAAGATATTTTATAATTCAGCAAACATTATCTTTTTCCTTCATTATTATACTTTGTTTCATATAATTTAAGTTCTAACATTAATTTAATTTAAAAAAAAAAAAAGCCCCACTCTTTAAGTATAGTTTCTTTCCTCCTCCCTGCTCCTTTCTTTACATTCTAAACTGATTTTCTCTTGAAGAGCAGGAAAAGGTTCAACCAAAAAAGAGAGCTAGCAATGGTGCTCTTTCCCAAGCCCCCTTCTCCCCACTTGAGTCACAAAGTTGTTCTATACATTGTCCTATATGCTAACTAGGAGATGCCTTTTTAATTCAGTCTAGTTCAGATCACTCTAAGATTTTCTGCTTGTGTATAGCACCTTAGGTATTCTAGGTATTCAAGTCCTTAATCTACTCATTCAATTAGTTGTCTTTTCATACAAATAGTTTCCAAGAAACCCTTCGGAAACACTAAAGGAATTTTGAAGTGCCATAAATGAACCAGGGAGGGTGATGTAAAGATTATATTTGGCAGTGCTCCTCCTTGAACCCATTTCAGCTTCCCTACTCTTCCCTCATTTGGGGAAGACAAGCAACCTGCTCAGGCTGCCCAGTCTTAGTCATACCTTCCCTACTGATGTTAACATTTTTAATGGTGGCAGGGAATTGTGGGGGTGGGGGTGGTTTTTAAAGAAAGCAGTACTTTGCCAGAGGTTGTGTCTGTGGCACCAGTGGCTCACACCAGGCCTTGCCAGGACCTTTTCCAGTATGTCCAACACCTTTTCTGCCTGACCCAGTGAGACAGTCACACGGTTTCAGAAAGAACTAGGGCTTATGAGTAGCTCCACTGTTCATTTATTTGAACCTTTCCCCATGTTACTACCTGCTACTTTTCCACCATCTGTCTTCCCCATCCTTTTTAACCATCCTTTATCCATCCTTTATCTTACTCCTACTAATTTCTGCATTCTTCTGAACCCCTCCTTCTTCCCTCATTGCTTCTCAGACATCTTCACAAGAGAAAGTCACAGCTTTTGAAAGTGGACAGTAGACTGCAATTTCACATGGTACGCAGATACCCATGTGAAAATATGTATTGACTGAAGGAGGGAATGACATCAATGTCTGCATCAGCTTAACACCCCTGGGGCTATCCTCCTCTGAGGTTGCTCTGCCACTTAGGACCTTTCAGTAAATTGCAACCAACTGAAACATTTGAAGAATATTATCTGCTGGTCACAGTGACAGAAAAGAAAAAATTAATTGTCTAAGAAGCTTTAAGGACCAGACAACTATTCTGGCCAATATCTTCAATAAGCCAGAAGATAATCTTTCAATATGGAAAAGTTGAACCCTTTATAGTTATGGAATAAGTAGAAAATAACTTTCATACTTAGCAATTGTCCAAACAAAACAATCATGAAAAAGTGATGGAGCTCCTGTTTTTCACAGAGCTGAATTTTTCTCAGAAAATTAATACAGCAAATGAAAATGAAACACTTTATCTGCCATTAAGAAAGGATTTTCCAAAAACAAATAAAATGAAAAGATAAATAAGAGGTACTCTTCCAAACCCCTGTAAGACATAGCCATAAACTTTTCCACTAGAGCCATATTTTTTAAATGTATAGATCTAGAGACTGCTAGAACAGAAAAAGCCAATGAAGATCACAAAGTGAAGCAACAGTTCCAACTCACAGAGCGCAGAATGAAAAGAGAGCCAGAATCCAACCTTCCTAACTTCCAGCCCACTTTTTATCCTACTCTACACATTACGTTCCTGCTCAACATGACTTTGCTTAATGTTCAAAGGCTGGAGACTATGACAACAAAGGCCTCCATCATAAAGCTTCAAAGCTAGGAGATAAAAATAGGTTACAAACACACACATACACACACATATATATGACTGACATTTGAGTGTAATCACATCTCAGTATAACCCAAGGGGAGAGGCAGGTGTGGGAAAATCACTGGATTGGGAGCCAAGCTTTCCAATGAACTCATTATGTGAAACTTACTCAAATTATTTAATCTCTTAGTGCCTTCTTGGATCTCTAAGACCCCTTCCTGATCTAATATTTGATAGTACTCTAAGATAACTCTAACCCACAATGGTGAAGAGTGCTTTTCAAAAATGTGGCTTTTAGAGGCACAAGGAAAGTTTCTCAGGGCAAAAACCCACCAGTCGTCTTGATTTCTCTCTTTTACCCACACAGCAAAAAAGTCTTCCTTCCAAGCATATTTGGCATAGAATTGCCTAGCATTTCCATTGCCCCCTTTCTCTTCTCAAAGCCAGAAGCCTTCCAATGGCCTATACAGCCTATGTGGTATGGCTGCCCACTTCCTCCCTTACTTCATCTACTACCTCTCCTTCCTTCCTGGCCCTCTGCCATGCTGAGCTTGCTCAGCCTCACACCTGACAGCCAAGTATCCACCTCAGGGCCTGTGCACTTGCTGTTCTCATTTATTCACCTCCTTCAGGTCTCTGCTCAAATATCTCTTCCTCAGAGTGACCTTCTTCAACCCCTCCATAGAAAGAGTACCCACCTAACCCTGTAGTCTCTACTCCTCCTCACTTTTTTCCATAGCACTTATCACCTACCATTCAAATTATTTTTAATGGTCATTTCTCTCTTTCGCCACGAGAAGGTAAGCTCCATGAGAACAAGTACAGGTTGACCATTCTAGGAAGAGAAAGTTCATTTGAGAATTCCAGGAAGCTGGCAAATGCCCTTCCGCAGTTTTTCAGGTGGGATTCAAACCATCCCACTTCCTTCCAGGCAAAGACATTTCTTCCTGATCTGTGCACAAATAATTCCACTTCCTCTTATTTCCAGAACTGAACAATATTTGTCCCTTCCATATAGTAGGCCCTTGATATTTTCAGAAAAGGGTACTTAAAATGAAACAAGCTGGGGAAGGCTTTTGGCAATCAGTGAGCAAACATGTCAGCAGAGCGATCTTCATCAATGCTGTGTTCAAGTCTTTTGACAAGTTGGGTTACCCAGGCCATTTGTGATCACTGGAGTTACTTGGTTTAAACTTCTCAGGCTGGGAGTGTGGCAATGACTGAGGCAAGCCACAAGTGCCAAGTGGTTAATTACATTTCTGTTACTAATTGTAGTGTGGCATTGTGTTCTCACAGTGAAGTAACATCTAGCGTTTGAGAGCTCTCCCAGTTTCAGTTCTCCCCGGGTCACTGAGCTCCTTCCTGGGTAAGACGACTAACTCTATTATCTCCATTCTTTCACAATTTAGGGAAGCTGTGTTTAGGTTTGTGAAAGAGTTGTCCTCCTCACATTTCTGCCTCAATTAACCATGTATCACCTAGGCTTTCTTCAGCCCTTATTTCCTCAAAATGCCTAAACTTAACCTGGAAAGCAGGAAATGCTGGCTTTCTGGGTGATTCCTTCAGCAATCTCCCCACACACTCCCATCAAGCTTGAGATCCTCTGTCAGTTTTCTCCCTTCTTCTGAGTAGAACTACTAAACTTAACTAGGACACTGGACAGGAGTTTCTGGCAGAGCAGCAGTATAATAAAACATATCATGAGAAAGTTAACAGGGCCCAGCTCTGAGCAAAGTTACCATCCTGAAAGGCCTAATCATCCAAAGATGGAAAGGTCTTTCCCATGATGTAAAGAGCTGACTCCAAACTGACTCCAAACCCAGAGCCCCATAAAATCATGGAGCCAGGTATCAAATCTTTCATCCTACAGGCATTTAGAAGGGAACAAGTTTAGCTCTGTATCATCAGAAACCCCTCATATAGGAAGTGGGGAACAATCTTCATTCCCATAGATTACGAAATGTTGCATCTTTTTCCATTTATTTAAACAATATTATTTGATGGCATCCCTTGGCCCCCACCAGGCTGCCTCACCGACAGATGTCCACCAGCTGGTCCAGCTCAGGGCAGCTGCACTCATACATGTCCCGGCAGCTCATGTGGCTCTGGTTCATCAACTCTCCCAGCAGCTGGACCATGTTTTCAGGTGCTTCTTCACATGTCTTCTTAAACTGGAGCACTCGCGCAGCCTCGCTGTACACATGCTTTGCCCGCTGATAGAGTTTGAAGATAAGCACTGACGAAGGAAGGGGATGGGAGGGAGGTTGGGAATAGTTACTGGACAACCCAGTATAAAGAAAAATACACTTTTGAAGACTTTCATTTCTGTTTTCATTATCAATATCTTAAACTGTAATAGGTCTCTCTTTCACTGAAAGGATTCTTTCCATTGAAATGTGTCTATTTGCAAGTCAGTTTTACTTTTTTCTTGATACTGAATAAAATTTTGTAACGATATTTCCTTCACTTCACTCAACACACATGTGCATACACTTATGTGCAATCTAATCCATCCCAAATGAAGAGAGACGTAACATGTATTGAGTACACCCTACACGCCAGACACTTTGAAAGTACTACTTTGTGTAGGCCGGGTGTGGTAGCTCACATCTGTAAACCCAGCACTTTGGGAGGCCGAGGCGGGTGGATCACCTGCGGTCAGGAGTTCAAGACCAGCCTGACCAACACGGTGAAAACCCGTCTCTACTAAAAATACAAAAATTACCTGGGCATGGTGGTGGGTGCCTGTAATCCCAGCTATCTGGGAGGCTGAGGCAGGAGAATTGCTTGAACCTGGGAGGCAGAGGTTGCAGTAAGCCGAGATCACGCCATTGCATTCCAACCTGGGTGACAGAGCAAGACTCCATCTCGAAAAAAAAAGTACTACCTCGTATAGTTCTCATCACAGCACTGAGGGATGTACAGTACGATCCCTGTTAACAGAAAGGAGGAGGCTCAATAGAGTGAAGTGACATGCTTAAGGTCACACATCCAGAACGTGGCGGAAGCCAAACAGATCAGGGATGCCTGACCCTACAGCCATGTTCTTTCCACTCTGCCCCAATAGAAAGGACCTCTGGAAATTCTTAGCAGTGGCAATTTTTTAATAAAAATAATATATGTCCCAGATAAACACAATTATTTATATGGGATATATAATATTTATATATGTACCTATATATGTGTGTTTGTGTATATATATATATACACACTGCAGCATTATTTATCCTAGAAGAAAGTAAGAAACAACTCAAGTATCTAATAACAGAGGACTTTAAAAAATTATGCTATATTCATTTTTGAAATATTACTGCTATCAAAACTCAGATTCTAAGGCAATTTGATATATAGGAAATTATTCATTATTAAGTGAAAAAACAACCTGCAAAACTATATGTACAACTGATACTAATTTTCCATACACACATACATATATTTATGTACATTTTAATTTTAAAAACTGATAGGAAAGCACCAAAATGTTAATAGTAGTTATCTCTGTGGTCCATTATGGGTGCTTTTATTTTCCTTTTGACACATATATGTATTTTCCAGATTACCCACAATGAATCTGTAATTTCAGCTACAGAAATATGGCCTACTGCAATGGCTATGTCTATAATGCTTACACATTCCTGTGAATAACAACTTAGACTTCCTTACCATTTTCACCCATATTGAACAGTGGCTTAGCTGGTGTGGTGGGTCTGGGAAAATTTTGGAATATTTATGAAAATTCCCAGGCCTAGGGGAAAGAGACAGGGCTGAAAATCAAAAAGTTTATAATTTATTTATTTTTTAAATTTTACTTAATTTAATTTTTAATTTTTAATTACTACTTAATTTTTAATTTTACTGTAGATATACACATGCCATGATGGTTTGCTGCGCCCATCAACTCGTCATCTCTATTAGGTATTTCTCCTAATGCTATCCCTCCCGTACCTCCCAACCACCGACAGGCCCCAGTGTGTGATGTTCCCCTCCCTGTGTCCATGTGTCCATTGTTCAGCTCCTACTTATGAGTGAGAACATGCAGTGTTTGGTTTTCTGTTCCTGTGTTAGTTTGCTGAGAATGATAGTTTCCAGCTTCATCCACGTCCCTGTAAAGGACATGAACTCATCCTTTTTTATGGCTGCATAGTATTCCATGGTGTATATGTGCCACATTTTCTTTATCCAATTTATCATTGATGGACATTTGGATTGGTTCCAAGTCTTTGCTATTGTGAACAGTGCCACAATAAACATACATGTGCATGTGTCTTTATAGTAGAATGATGTATAGTCCTTTGGGTATATACCCAGTAATGAGATTGCTGGGTCAAATGGTATTTCTAGTTCAAGATCCTTGAGGAACTGCCACACTGTCTTCCACAATGGTTGAACTAATTTACACTCCCAAAAACAGTGTAAAAATGTTCCTATTTCTCCACATCCTCTCCAGCATCTGTTGCTTCCTGACTTTTTAATAATTGCCTTTCTAACTGGTGTCAGATGGTATCTCATTGTGGTTTTGATTTGCATTTCTCTAATGACCAGTGATGATGAGCTTTTTTTCACATGTTTGTTGGCCACCTAAATGTCTTCTTTTGAGAAGTGTCTGTTCACATCAAAAAGTCTGTAATTTCTTAACAGCTCTGTGACAACTAGCTATATACAAATTGCTACCTTTATAATACTCTATTTCCTCACCTCTAAAATGAGGTTGAGAGTCACTTCTCAGGATCCTTCCAGCCCTAACATTTTATAATTCTATGAAGGGCTTCTTCCAAGAGTATCTGTCCTTCAACATTCCGCCCATATTGTTATACTTTATAAAGATGCTGTTACTAGTAGCTTTTGTTTACATCCCCAGTTCTACTCTCTGCCCTTTTCCACCCTACTATCAGCCCCAAAGGCTGACCTGTATAGACTACACCAGTGAGTCCCCTGCCATCTAGATTTGAGAGCAGGAAAAGATCAGCAACAGATGGGAGGGAAAAGAGTGAGCAGGATTTATCCCCTGGCTCTTCCCTTGCAGAGCCATTTAGAGCTGGCACTGTCCCTTCACTGAAGGACACTGAACATCCTTCAAAATCTCCTTTTCTCCATGACTCTCTCCTCCTGGGTCTGCCTCTAGGTTCCTCTCCCCTAAACTATGATTACTTTTACGGAAGCACTTTCACATTTCTACTAATGAACCAATAAATCTTATTAAAGTTTCAGGTTTCATTTTTTCCCCTCCACAGCACTGTCTTTATAACTCTTATTTTCTTAGATAACCACTATATCATTATCACACCTAACAAAATTACCAGTGGTTCCTTAATATTGCCTCATATTGAGTCCATATTTAAATTTTCCCAATTGTCCACCAGTTCAAATTTCAATTGGTTTACACCAAGATCCAAACAAATTCCACACATTATATTCAGTTGTTATGTCTAATAAGTCTCTTTTAGTCAATCAAGAATTTAGTAGTTTAGTGATTTTTGATACTCTGGATTTGCAATATCCTATCCAAGCATATTTTAGGGCCATATCCTATAATGAAACTCAATACATTCCATTAGGGAGAGTACACTTTGGTTTTCCTTTAGGATTACATACTTCTTTAGGATTAAATATTTTCTTTTAGGATTAAATATTTTAAAATAGAAACTATCCAGAGAGATGTTTTCTATTAAACCCAGGACTGGTGCTTTGATTTTGACAAAAAACATTCACAAGACACCCACCAGACTACCGGAACTTCACAATCCTGGCACCTTCCTGAATCTGTTCACTTCTTGCAGAGGAAGTGTTTCACAGTAGGACTTCTGAATACCAGTGTCTAACGAGGACTCTTGCTGGGCATTCTGAAGGTGCATGAGAGATTGCCATGGCTTGCAATCTCCTGAATGGTAGTAACTCAGACAACAAGGGAAAGGGCAGAAAGGGCATCTGTTTTCAATTGTGAAATAAAAATCCTGCCAAAAGCTACAACAGATTTGGAGACCACCCTTTGGGTGGGAAAGCAGTTCTGCGTTGGCTGAATGTCACAAATGCTCTCTGGATTCAGGGTTCTGGCTTGTTACGTATTGGCAACTCATCAGGTCTCTGTTATACAGATATCAAAAAATGCAAGAAAATCTGAAGCTTTATCCATAACAGCTTTCTTCCTTGTCCAGCTAACATGATAGCCGGATGTTCCAGCTGTCTAAAAGCTCTTGTAATCATTGGGAGCAATTATTACATTAAAGGATGAAGGAAGCTGTTTCTTACTATGTTCATTGTATGCATGATTACTTTCAAGGCAAATTCAATTTAAGAATATACCACTAGATGATACTTTCCTCCAATATTATTAATGGCCTATCCTAGTCATGAGAAATCCAAAGCTTCAAAGCGGGATGCACTGCATAGTCTTCAGAACACTGATTTTCTCCAATGTGAATCTTACATAATCACTGAATTTAGTCATGAAATCACGGCACAAATTCTGAAATCTAAATGTTCATGGCCATATATACTTAAAACTACAAAATACATATTTCATTTTGTTGCTAGTAATTTTGACTTGTATAATAAATTCTATTGGCTAAATTCCTTCTGACTGGCCTCCTAGCTGTGCTTCCAGCACACCATGTGGCTCCTGCGATAGGTCTGTGGCAGTAGCTGTTTTGTTGTCCTGAAATGCTCTTCCCCATGATCTTCACATGGCTGGTTCCTTCTTGTGGTTCAAGACTCAGATGTCACAGCTTTCAAGAGACTCAACTCCAATCTGGAGTAGCCCCCACCAGACATATTTTCTCCATTCTGTTTTATGCTCCCAACACCTATCTCCATCCAATATTTTCCTGTGTGTTCATTTGTTCATTGGTTTGTGGTTGTCTCCCACCAATGTCTAATTTCTTCACAACTATCTCTAGCAGCTAAAATAGGATCTGGCACTTAGTAGGGGTTCAATAAATGTTTATTGAATGAATGATTCCGATCCTTCTCCTTGTAACAAAACTGCACTGAAACTAGGCTAAATAAACAGTAGTGAAACAAGTACAATACAGAATATAAAGGAGACATACTATTTTGACAATTTATACTCACTAGCATCCTCACCACAAAGTGGGGAAAGTTTGCTAAAATAAAGTTTGGAAACAATTAGTAAACTTCAGTGTCCAAAGTATACCCTAATACTCATTATCACAGATGACTGAGAATTGTTTATGTTGTATTTTGCTTTATAGATGTGAGAGAAAAAGAGATTTCTAAAAC